AGGTTCATCAAATTCCTAATGAATAAAAACCCTAGCCTATAATCATCATTGCAAAATCAAGAAATTGAAAAACGAAATTAAAAGATAATAAGAATACATCCGTATGGAATTTCTTCAATCCGTGTGTATAATCTTCAATCCTGTCTATAGCCCGTGTGAAATTGAATCCAAAATCAAGTTTCTTGCCTCCAATTTTGGTCTCTTCCTTCTCCTTGATCGTTCTCCTCCTTCATATGATGAATTTTGGTATTTATATCGCGTCCAAATTAGGTAGGAAAAGAGTTTCAACCAAAACGAAAAACTGCGCCCGAGAGTTGAAAATAACTCTATGCGACCGCATAGAAGGAATCTATGCGGTCGCATAGATCAAAAAATTTGGGTTCATTGAATCCCTGAAGCCCTCTATGCGACCGCATAGAAGGTTACACTATGCGGTCGCATAGAGGTAACCATCTATGTGATTTGTTCAATTTGGTCCCTGAACTTCTTTGTTGCTTCTCTTGACTTCTTTCTTCGATTTCTTCATCTTTTCAACAAATTTTATCTTCCAATTGATGATTGATACCATCAATTCTTATGCCCCTCATTCGGCATATCTTTTGAGTATTTGCGCTTTAGTCCTCCAACTTTCAATTGTCTTCATTTCAGTCTCTCTTCAATATTTTCTTCTTCCATTCGTTTTGCTTTGTCATTGAACTCATACTTGGCATGTCTTCCCTCTCGTTTTGCATTTAGCTCAACTTTTCAATATTTGCACCTTTGGTCCTCGAACTATCAAATTGTTGCGTTTTGATCCTTCTTCGGCTCTTTTCTCCTGAATTCCACAATTTCCATTGAATTACCTACAATGCATAAATTTAACTGGATTAAGTCACAATTCAACCATTTTTTCCATGTTTAAGTCATGTTTATGATCCAAATAAGTATGTAAAAACACACTTATCAGTTGGGGACGTGATAAATACTGTTGGAGCATCTTCCAAATGTTGTGATCTTCTTCGAGAAAAACAGTTAGATTTTATTGTTGAGGCATTGGAAAAAGGTGAGATTTTAAGTGGACAGGGACTTAATCAAGAAACGACCCTTCAGCGCTCTGGTGATACACGATGGAGTTCACATTATAATTCTTTGATCAGCTTGCTTGCCATGTTCTCTTCAGATGTACTTGCAACGATTGTTGAAGATGAATCTTGTTCTTGTGATCAAAGATCTGATGCAACAAATTTATTGGAGTTGATACAAAAATTTGATTTTGCATTTAATCTACAGTTGATAAGAAATGTCTTGGGGATGTCAAATGAACTGTCAAAGGCATTGCAAAGGAAAGATCAAGATATTGTGAATGCAATGCAATTGGTGAGATTGTGCAAACAACGACTCCAAATAATGAGAGACGAAGGGTGGGACTCTTTTTTGGAAGAAGTATGTTCTTTTTGTCAACAACATTACATTCATATACCCAACATGAATGATATGTTTGTACGCCTTGCACTTCGTGGTCGCCCTCAGCGTAATTCTCCAGAAATTACAAATTTACATCATTACCGAGTAGATTTGTTCTATTCTGTCATCGATTTACAACTTCAAGAATTGAATGATCGTTTCTCAGAGGTAAATACAGAGTTACTCCTTTGTGTAGCTTGTTTATGTCCTCAAGATTCATTTTCTTCTTTTGACAAGAAAAGCTTGATTAGACTTGCTGAGTTTTATCCATTAGATTTCTCTTCAGTGGATGTCATTGTACTGAACGATCAGCTTGAGACTTATATTTTTGACATGCTTTCTAACAAAGAGTTTGAAGGGTTGAATGATCTTGGTGATCTTGCGAAGAAGTTAGTTCTGAAAAAGAAAGATAGAGTTTATCCTTTGGTTTACAGACTTTTGACTTTGGCATTGATTTTACCGGTTGCTACCGCTACTGTGGAGAGAGTCTTTTCTGCAATGAGTATTGTAAAGGATAGATTGCGCAATCGGATGGGTGATCAGTGGATGAATGATAGCACAATTGTTTATGTAGATAAAGATATATTTTTGAAACTTGATAATGAAGTTATTGTACGACGATATCAAAATATGAGAACTCGCAAAGAACAAATTTAATATATAAATTATGTCTTTTTAGTATTGTTCTAGTATTGTTTTATTTTTTTATCATCATTAAATCTATGACCAAAACCTCGAAATTCGGCGTCGAAAAATGATGCCCGCACTGAACATAAATCCTGGCTCCGCCCCTGCCGCCACTGACATCCACCGCTCCACCAGTTCTGGCTCTGAAACCACCACTTGGGCCTTCTCCTCCTCAGCCCATCACTTCTCCCATCACTCCTCCACCACTCCATCCGACGACCCCCGCTGGGATACCATCCGCCGCTTCCATTGCCTCGCCCTCTCCGATCTTCACTTCCTCCACCGTCTCGGCTCCGGAGATATCGGATTCGTGTACTTAGCCAAAATCAAGTCACCCTCGCCGTCTCCATCCTCGGAGGAGCAGCCTAATTCCTCCTCCTCGGCGGCTCTCTTCGCGACTAAGGTTATGGACAAGAAGGAACTCGCCAACTGTAATAAAGAAGGTAGAGCAAGGACAGAAAAAGAAATCCTTGAAATGCTCGAACATCCATTTTTACCCACGCTTTACGCTTCCATTGACTCTCCCAAGTGGTCGTGTCTATTGACGGAGTTTTGCCCCGGCGGCGACCTTCACGTCCTCCACCAAGCTCAGCCGTGTAAACGCTTCCCGGAATCCTTCAGGCACGCATTTTACCACTATCTCCTCTCCTCCACCACCGTTTTAGCCTCTTGTGGTAACGATTTTTTTCATAATCATATCTGTAGATTTTATGATGCCATTAATCATATGATCTAAATCATTTTATTAAAAATTATTAATCAAATATTGAAAAGATTCAAAATTCATCTTTTGGCTAAACTTTTAGCATGCTTGAGCCCCATTTTAATCCAAGGCTATGTTTTAGGATGGTAGACTTCTAGTTAAAAAATATGAAAAAAATTTTAAATTTTGTGAGAAATATCATTTTATTGAAAATTGTGAGATTAAAAAGAAAAATGAAAAAAAAGTACTTTATTCGGAAAAGAAATTGGAATTTGGATATGACGTTGAAATTGAAAGTGACGAGGGAGGTGAGGCATATTGATTGGTCCACTACCTGACATAGAGCTGATAGTGGGGCCCAAGCGATTAGCGTTGTGACTCGTGTACACTAGAACTGAAATCTACTGTAAATCGAGATTCACTGTAGCAGGAGAACTGCTACAATTACAGCATTTTTGACAACTTTGTTTACGATTTTTTCACATACAATGGGTGACCCTACTCGTTTGTACTCCTAATCAAAGGGGCTGTTGGTTGTAGATGAGATTTGTCCAGGATATTTGAGGTTTTGATTTTTGATTTTTATTTTTATAGTCGTTAGACTAGTTGACTTTACTAAAGTTGTTGCAGTATAGTAGCGGTCACGTGACTAAGGATGCAATCAAGGGTTCTTTTACTTGAACATTTGAAAAGTCAAAAGTAATTTTTTAACGTATTCAAATAATTTTTTTGAAGTATTTATTTTGATCGTAAGAGTTTAGATGAAACTAGCTTAGAGTAAAAGATTTTCTACAAAAAGTATTAGCAAAAATATAAATCCTGCCAAATGGAACCTAAATAACGCTTTCCATGAATTATTAAAGGTTAAAATACTGTAAATATGGAACTTTCTAATTCGGCCCATTCGTTTTGATCCTTAAATGGATGGCAAATTCAACGGAATGTGCTCCGTTCCGTTCCCTCTTGCTGTATTTAGGGGGGTTTCCGTTAAAAGCAACTCTTGGAATTTATGATGGCCCCCACCCCATATGTTTAGATAATTATAATGGGACACCTGATTGATTTTTTCTTTGACAATTAACTCCAATTGAAGCTAGGGAGGTACAGACAATGTAGCTATGTTAAGAAGAGGTATAGCTTCTTTCTGGTCTTCAATGAAGTGTACGAAAGTAAATTAATTAATTTGGAAGAAAGCTAGGTGGAATTATTGGACTTGATTCGAGGTTTTGTTTCATGGGTAAATGTAGGAAACTTATAGCGGCTATTAGTTTTTCTTGAAAAATTAGTCTTACAAGCATAGTTATCAAATCAAACCCGAACATTGACTTGGCCAAGGTCACCGAATCACTGGTATGGCAAACGATTCTTTATCTTTCTATATTACGCATAAGAACATGTGGTGTCCTACAATCGTCGAATAAAGTTGACCATGTCTTTGTAAAATTTCACAAATGATAGACTAATATTCTCATTTTTGTAGTGATAACGTATAATATAAAAATTAGGCCTAATCAATAATTAATGGTGTCATTAGCTAACAGCTAACTACTCCTGTAAGATTTTTCTTGTTAGTATATCTGTCCCATTGATATTTCTATCGCAGTTTCAATAATTATTTAGTTTATTTCATTAATCGGGTGTTTAATTTAATGATAATCCCAGATTTTACGCAGCCGAGATTGTGGTTGCTTTGGAGTACCTACACATGATGGGAATAGTATATTGTGATCTCAAGCCTGAAAATGTATTAGTTCGAACAGATGGTCATATAATGTTGATTGATTTTGATCTCTTTTTAAGATGCGATGCCTCGACGTCTACGCCAGTACAAGTAATATCTACTCAAAATCGGTCAAATGCATTGCCACCAAGTGAGTATAGATTCGACCCAACATCATTTGGCTCGACTTCTTGCATTCTTCCCAATTGTATCGTTCCTGTAGTATTGTGCTTCCATCCCAAGCGCAAGCGTGAAAAGAAGCAAGGCCACCACGTAGGTCCAGAATTTGTGGCCGAGCCGATTCATGTTAGATCTATGTCATTTGTTGGGACCCATGAGTACTTGGCTCCGGAGATAGTATCTGGGGAAGGCCATGGAAGTGCAGTGGACTGGTGGACCTTCGGGATATTCATTTTTGAGTTATTTTATGGCGTGACGCCATTTCGTGGTATGGACCATGAGCTAACCCTAGCGAACATCATTGCTTGAGCCCTTGAGTTTCCTAAAGAGCCTGTGATACCCACCGTGGCAAAGGACCTAATATCTCAATTGCTTTTTAAAGAACCAGAGTATCGAATGGGATCGAAAATGGGCGCATCAGCCATTAGATGCCATCCATTCTTTCAAGGGGTGAATTGGGCACTTTTGAGATGTACGACTCCACCTTTCGTCCCTCCATCTTTGAATGGAGATTATCTATCGGATGAAAGTTGCCCGGAAACTGTTGTGGACTATTACTAGTGGTTCAAGCTTGTCAACAATTTCATCTTATAAAAATAATGCTCCATCGACATATCGTATAATTTGTGCATTTGAATTCGAATCATAATATCGTTTCAACGAGTTCAAAATTATATATAATAAAATATTAGTACTACATAACGAAATAATAAGTCGACTCGAAGTTGATGGTGTATAATTTTAATATAATGAGTCCACGAGTAATAGTTGATCACAAAATGATGAAAATATCAATTTATGTAACATGGGATGATTACAAAATTGTTTGGAAGGCAGTGGTGTTTTGTGACAATGGGGAGACGAAGGAAACTTCATTTTGATTTTATTTAAGGCGACAAAATCAATTTTATTATCTCCTAGTCAATGGCCCTTTGTTGTGATGTCGACAACATTACATGTAAACCATGATGCCAACATGCACTGTATTCAAAACCCTTTGGGCTCCCCACTTTGCTTCTTCTAATTTTCAATCCACAACCTCTTAAATAAAACAAAATAATCATTTAGACAAAATGTAAATGATAATGTTGTGGAGTCTAATAGCGCGACAAGATAGTTACACTTCTCTACTGGGCTTATAGCCTATGAAGTTAAACGGGCCTCGATTTTTCAATATTGCCTAGAGAATTTGACATAACTTACTAAAATGCCCAATAGAGACGATAACCATATTTGTGCAATGTTGAGAACTATCTAGAGATGTAATCTCTAAATATAGAAACTAGTGGCTTGTGATTAGATGGCATCATCCACGTGAAAACATAAAGATCAGTGAAAATTACTTGGTATTCGTGAGGCAGCCATGCTGATTCCATCTTTGTATATTTCAACTTATAATATTAAGAGACGAGAATTTTAATCATATTTTCATTGATATCAAAGTAATTTATACTTGTTATACTTTAAAGTTGCCTAGTTAGTATAAAGAATATGGATTTATGATTCCATAATAATTTAGTCCTAAAAGTAAATATCAGATTTTTGAGTTACTTGGTGTCCGTGAGGCAACCATGCTGATTCCATCTTTGTCGAAATCCTTCCATGCCCTCAACTACAGTTGCCAAAATCAAGCGCCTAAAACAAAAATAATACCTTATCTAATTACTTTACCATGATGAAATTTGATCTGACGAATCAGCATAATTAAACTATGACAAAATCCGTGGAGTGAATGATGGCATATAATTTATACTATCTTATATAGAAATTTCCGCTCCTACTCATCGGAAAAAGACTTGAACGTTCATTTGGACTATACTGCTTGGAGACTTTGAGTTGACATATAAATTCAAGTCTAGGACGTTTTAAGATGATGACAATTCTTTGAGTTGCATTTTTCCTGCCTGCAAAAATATAAAATTCTAGTGCTTGTTTAGTAGGGATTTTGATAATTGATTTTTTGACCGTTAGAGTTAAAGTGGGTCATATCTGTGAGAAAAGAATTCAAAAGTGACAGCTGTAATAATGAAATAGCGATAAAAAAATTTGATTTTAATTGACTTAAATTTTGTACCAAACAATCTCTAATAGTTTGCCACGTAAAGCAAATGGTACAGAATGTCCAACGTGAATGACTTTAAAGAAGAAAAATAGAGATTAACATTTTATCAGTTGTGCTGTCTATTCAATCATTATTTCAAACTATTTTTTCTCCATAGTTATTTTCAATCACATAATAAAATATTTTGCTTATAAATTAAAACTTATTCCCTACTTTTAACCATTCTCCTAAAAATTACTATCATAAAAATTAATGCTACGTATAGCCCCAATGGGGATGTAACTCCAGTTTAAGTGACGTTAAAT